GTTGATTGGAGGGCAAAGAGATAAATGGTTCGGCAAAATCCGCCTCTTTCTCTCTTGCTCTCTGGTGATTGGACCAGCATGCAGCTGCCTTAGCTAGTTCTCTGCCTCAACTTGTGAGCTACACTATACGTGGGACACCCAACCCATGGATTGTATTGCTAGACTTGAAGTTCCTTCGAGACCTGTTTCGCCATGATGCTGGTGAACACATCACTTGAGCTTGGAACTGTAGGATCCTGTCATCCTGCTGACTGATGGTGGCTCACCCTGTTGTTTGCTGCCTGTGGCGGGACTGCATGCATTGCCCTAGGGAAGACTCAGCTGTCTGCTTCCTTGACCTTGGGCCCAGCAGCCCTCATGAGTCGAAGGACTTCCAGTATATTAACTGTTTCACGGAAGGGAATTGAACTGAGCCCTCTGTACTGCTGTGTAGACTAATATTAGTTGTTGTATTCCTTCATGCCATATATATATAAAATCATAAGTGTCCTGGTTTTTTTTTCCTAAAGAACTCTGCCTAACACAAGTATAAACCCTAAGACAGCTAATCTAAGTATCCACCCCAAAGAAAGAGTTAGCACTCATTTGTATTTCAGAAAGTTACATAGCCACAAAGAGACATAAAGTCTTAATACGTTTTATAACTTGGATGAACCTTAAACTGAGTGAAATTAGTAGTCATAAAAGGAAAAAAAATGGTATGACTTTATTATGCAAAGTATCTAGAGTAAGCAAATGTTTAGTGACCAAAGTTGATTAGTGATTACCAGGAGTGGTTGATAAAGGGGGGCAGGGGTGAGGGATTGGTTAGGTAGGGATCACTGTGTTTCTGTTAAGGGTGATGGGAAATTTAAAAATGGAGACTTGGGATGGTTATACAAAGGACACATGCCATTAATGCCATTGAATTGTACACAAAAATATTGAAATGGCAGATGTTTTTCCATATTTGTTTTTATTACAATTGGAAAAAAGGTAAAATAAAAAGTTATAAATGTGTGAGAACAAACGTACAAAATAGCAAAACAAATGGAGACAGTATGCCAATCAGAAAAGACTAGTACGATCTTACTTCTGTCGACTCAGCTAAAGCTCAAAAGCAGCACTGAATAAAAGAAGACGCATTGACTAATGTATGAGTAGTCTGACGCCATACGGAAAAATGCGTGCTATGCTAAGAGTGTTATTCACAGAAGGGAGGTCAGAGTTCTGGAGGGAAATTGAAAGAGATGGGATCCGAGTGCGGTGCCCTGAGGGCTTTAACAAAAGCAGTGTCACATTTCTTTAGCAAAGGCCTTGAACCATGTGACAAGACACTTAAGATTTCTCAGAGGTGAGCAATGGGTACAGAAAATTTGGTTACATTGTTTGCTGGGCTTTTCTTGTTGGGAAGCTATTTTGCTCTTTTAAAGGGAAAATATTTTAAATGGTCAAGGGGCTGGATCTGTGGGTTTTTGACTCTTCAGGCTTTTAATAAAAAGTATTTAAAAAAAAAAGTATTTTTGTAAAACAGTGAAGATTTTAACTGCCCATGTAGTACCCAGGTACTACTTTTTATATAAGTTTTGTATTTTGATGATCTTGGGAAATCTCCTTGGAAAGAAAATGTTCTTCTTTTCAAAATAACAACACAGACAGACGGTTGCTTATGAGGTGAGTTTTGCAAGATTGTTCTAACATCCTGTGATCCTAGGGCTCATGCTCAGGATGGATGGTCAGTTCACACCTGTGCCCCCTTCTGTTGTGTGTTACCAGAGTGGGCCTGGAGGCGTCAAACCTCTTCTCTCAATTCTTGTCATGCTTGTAAGAAGAATCCAGGAAAGATACAGGAGAAAAGGTTCAAACTGAATGAGTATGTTTATTAAAGGGTTACATCTCCCACGATTGTGTGGATGGGTGCTTCAGGTAGTCTGAGAGCACGCTGCTGGATGAAAATGTTTTTTAATCATTTTATTGGGGGCTTGTACAACTCTTATCACAATCCATCCATCCATCCATTGTATTGAGCACGTTTGGTGCCATCATCATTCTCAAAACATTTGCTTTCTACTTGGGCCCTTAGTATCAGCTCCTCATCCTCGCCCCACGTGCCCTCCCCCATGGAAAATTTTTATAGTGTTGATGATGGTAGACCTATGATTGGCAGGCTTCTCATAGTGTACCTCCCTTTACAGATAATGTGCCCAAGTTCATGCTGTGACCTTGTGGCCTGGCCAGAACCCTGGGGTCAGTATGGTCATTTGTGGGAGCTGGGTGCATCTCCTGCTCATCTCTTTTTAAAAGTTCATGCCTTTTACTGGCTCCCTCTCCCTGTGGTGGGCATTCCTTTTTGAAATTCCTTTTGAAAGTGTGTCTTTCCTGCCCTCCACCCCTCTTTGTGCTGACAATCTACTGATACAGGAAATAATGGCTTCACTTCCCTCTTTGCTTCTGTT